ACCCTTAACCTGTAAACACAAATGACATGAGTTCATTAGTCATAAATAGTGTTGCTGATGAATAGTGAATGCTGATGAAATAATTGTTTATAACTATTTTAACACAAACCTTAATTTAAAACAAACAAACAGCAGGAGTATCTTGAACCCCATAAGGGTTAAGAAGCACTGTTCTAGAGGTTGATCTTCAGAGCAGCAGTCCTTGATCTGTGTGATGCCTCTCTGTTGTTGATTTGTTGATCTCTGTTATTGATGGAGGTGTATTTGTCTGCCTGTCAGTATGTCAATGATCGAGCCCGGGCCCGTACACACTGAGTTTGAGATGAAGATGTTTGCAGATGTTTCTAAGAAAGAGTATGTCGGTACTGATCCAGAGACGCTACACCACTTTAGGACCTGCTACCTGCCCAGTGCAGCGAACATCTTCCAAGGCCTGGGCCAAACACCTGAAGACATCGCCAAGGTCAGAAATCACGTCAGTTAAGGCCCGTTCACACCAGGAACGATCGCAATAACCATGAAGTTTTAATAATCGCTCTAAGTCTATATAATAGCAAAGTCCACACTATAACTAGGACAATGACGTCATTATTTAGTTGAAATCAGTTCATTGACAATTCAGTTTGTTTCAATAACTGTGTTAAGTTAATCAATTGGAACGAGTTTAATTTCTAAAGCAGCTCTGGAGAAAACAGCAATGTCATTATCCAGCTCAATTGCTCAATTCACCATTACTGTCTGTGCAATCAAGTTGATAATATCTGCCAAATATTAAGTGTCTTCCTGTCTGGTCTTCCTGTCTTCCTGTCAGGAAAAGCAACGGTCCTAGTACTGAGCCTTGCGGTACTCCATACTGAATTTGTGATTGATATGATACCTCTTGATTTAATGCAACAAACTGATGATGGTCAGATAATTACAATTTGAACCATGCCAGTGCAATTCCACTAATGCCAACAGGATTTGATCTACAGTGTCAAATGCAATGCTATGGTCCAGTAACACTAAATGAAAGATAGCATAAGCTCTCTTTAATAATGTAATGAGGATGCAAATGAAAGCACTCACTGTCTCTGTCTCTGCAGTGCACTAAGAAGGTGATCGAGTCGCCGCGGCCTCCATTCCGTAACCTGACGAATCCTTTGTACACTCCGATCGTGGCGCTGAAGTACGCGGATGAGACGGGCAGCCTGTCTGTTCACACCTTCTATCACATGCTGTATAATCTGGGAGGAGTCATGCATGTTAGTCTGAGTATCTTGAAGTGCCTGAGCTGTGGATGCTTACGGAGACAAGCCATCTCACCAACCTAACACACACTCATACATGCATATGTGGTTTACAGCGACTCTCATAGGTGTAATGGTTTTCATACCGCACAAACTGTATATTCTATCCCCTAAGCCTGCCCCTAAAGGAAGTCTCCTCATAAACCATGTTTACATTGTAATACCCATGTCATTAAAAACATTTGTATCCTCATAAGCCATGTATTATTATAAGCACTCACTCACTCACTCACTCACTCACACACACACACACACACATCCACACTTTCCAATGGTTATGAATCATCTTGTCTAACACCGTGTCCTAACTACAAGCAATGCGACAGAATCAATCAAATATCACAGCCAATCAAAAGCGAGTGTGGGTGGGCTCTCTCTGGAAGTGCACTGCACTCGCAATGAAATGGATAAGTTTATAATCTAATTCATAAATATTAAACCTTTTAAACATTATTAAATGTACGTACTGAGTGACTGATACCATCTTTGTTATGGAATATGCTTGTGGGTTCGCATTGAGTTCGCAGTTTTAACAAACATTTGTTTTAATTTATTTTCAAGATCTGAGGTAAACTGTCTGCTGGCCCTTTCAGTATGGCTATAAATGTCACACAACATGATATTCAAACTCACATTAGACACTTTTAACATTGACCAAAGCACATAATCCGTACCTGAGATTATCACTGTCTGTATCACTGGAGAAACCGTTTCTAAAATATAAATTTCGCGTGTCACCATCACAGGTGGTTAGGAAAAAACTGATTAACATGTAAAAGATGCCTTTTATTGTGTTGCATCGTGTGTAGTTAGGACATGGTGTAAAGGATGCACACAAACATGCAGTTTTTGTCTTTGTACAGATTAAAATCTATACAATTACTGTTACAGAAGTATTGATTCCTTGTCACTTAAACCTTTTACAGTAACTCCCATAAGCTGTTAAGATAAGATTTGATTTTATAGTTTCAGATAGTATAAATAGCACTATATTAGTGTATATTTTTGAGGAGATGAAACTAAGTTAGTGGGACAGAGCAGGTGGTAAAGATAATTTTATTTACAAGAGACATGTTAGTCAGAGATGACATATAAACACATAAAGCTATTGTGCTTGTAAAGACCTAAAAAGAATAAAAGACCATCATTTCAGAAGAAGAGATGCTGATGAAGATTTTCTAGATCAAGCAGCAGATTGAAGCTCTGAAGCTCCTGAAAGACTGGAATTACAGCCAGATCAACTGTGTTCAGCAGCGATACTGTGAGTGTTTGTACCGAGAGTGCATGTTTGTTGATGTACACTTTCGTAGTCCTGCTGTCATCATGATCTCTCTTCCATGATCCACACACATTATTGTAGATATGCATCATTCACACACACGTTTAGTATGACATTATTACTTGATAATTGGGCTGTCATGGCCTAATGGTTAGAGAGTCAGATTTATAATCCAAAGGTCATGGGTTTGTGTCTTGGTACCTAGAGGGATTGTAGGTGGAAGGAGTGAATGTACAGCGCTCTCTTCCACCTTCAATACCATGACTGAGGTGAGACCCTTGAGCAAGAACTGAACCCCCAACTGCTCCCTGGGTGCCGCAGCATTGGTTGCCCACTTGTGTGTGTGTGTGTGTGTGTGTGTGTGTGTACTTGGATGGGTGAAATGCAGAGCACAAATTCAGAGTATGGTACACCATACTTGGCCACACGTTAGTTTTTATATTATGTTGTATATTATTAGTTTTTTAATACGCATGTCTAGTGATGTAATTTTGTAGTTCACATGCATGGTTATTGACGCACATGAGAAGTTGTTAAGCTGCGCAAGTTTTGGAGAACACAAGCTGTTGTCTGTGATCGAAAATAATCGTAACTGGAATTAAAATTCATCAATATACAACAAATAAGTTGTTGTAACCCAAATACATTTATGTAAGAAGACTGAAAGAAGTGTTAAATGTTTGATGTTAAAAATAAATGAAGAAACAAAAAGAACTTCATTGACTCCTGAGTCGTGAGTAAGCCAGTGCAACAAGAAAGATACGCGTCAAAACTTGTGGACTAACTATAAGAAAATGACATGTCCCATACACTAGAACTATCCGTGGAATTACCCGCTTTTTGGATTGTTTGGACCACAGAAACTAGGAAGTTCTAGGAACTCTGTTTGGGGGAACTAAATTAGCTCCTACTTCAGAGTAGGGTCTATTGGCACTTTTCCACTGCGTGGTACGACTCGGCACGGCACGGCTCGGCTCGGTTTGTGTTTCCACTGCAGTTCAGTACCGCTTTAGAGTGGGCGGGATTATTCACATGTCATTATAGTTGCGCCGCCTCTACTACCACGACTCCTAAAAAAAACTTTTTCATTCCGCGTCGCCCCATCAAGCTCTTGCTGGATCCGCTCCTCTGCTATCAACGAGAGGAACGTCTGTACTTCTGCAACAGACAACAAAACTTTTTGGTTGTTAAAAAAAGGTGTGCTCGTTCAAAACAGTTGCGTTCGATCAATGGCTGGCTGGCTGTGCTGATTTAAATCTAGCGGTTCTGTTGTGTTTGTGTCGCAAGTTCAGTGACGCAGGTAGTGACGATTCTCTCCGGCCAATCCGTGGTCAGCAGAGTTTACACGTCACGTAACGGTACGGTTCACTTGGAACCCCAACCGAGGTGGTACTAAAAAAAGTACCAGGTACCAGGTACTGTACCAGTGGAAAACCCCCAAAAATTGAACCGTACCGAGCCGTACCGTGCCGTACCATGTAGTGGAAAAGCGCCATAAGACAGTTCCATAGGAACCATCAGTGACATAATACGCTGACTGGCCAAATGCATGCAAAACACAGGTAAGCCCGCATTTTCTAGAACTAAATACATTTCTAGTTACTGCGTTGTAAACACGCCAAAAAGCGGGAACTTCCGCCAATAGTTCGAGGAACTATGAAACTATTCCTCTGGTGCGAAAGCCCCTTTTGACATACTTGAGTATCTGCAGTGAGCAGTTTGGAAAGTCCGGACACCATAAAGCCAGACAATCTACAGACACACAATCCTCGCTTTGCAACACTTTGAAGTGTATATTGGTTCAAGTGTACATACTATTTTTACTGATCATAACCCTCTTACCTTTCTTCAACAAATGTTTAATGCTAATCATCGTTTAATGCGGTGGTCTCTGATCTGTCAAGGTTACAACTTGAAAATGTTATTGCTGACTCACTGTCCCGTGTCAACCAGTAAAACATTGTATGTTTTATTTTATGGGTGGGGGTGTTATGACCTTGAGATATGCTATGCATCTGTGAACTGTTTTTGTATGTATTTTGATCTCTCTGCTCGTGTGTGTAGAGAGGTTTGTGTTCCAGATGGGTGTGGCCTCTGTTAACCAGCTGGAGATGGTGATTGGTCGTATTATGCAGCTTACTCGGATACAAGGACCGCCCCAAACACTGGTCTGCTGCTTTCGAGCCTCGTTGACTTTGTATCATCGTGTTTCGCTAGTGTTCTGGGTGACTGTTTTCTGCTATTGTTTGTATCTTCGTCGTCGTTTGGTTGTGAGTGTCGTACCAGAGAGAGATATTCTGTGTAGTGAATCTGTTGAGTGTTTGTCATTGTAAGATCAAATTCTGAATCTCTTGTTTATCTGAACATTGCCTGTTTTGACTACGATTCGGATTCTGATTCTGCTTTGTGTACGACCTGAAACTTTGTAAATAACTTTTAATATTCTTGTAAATACACGTTTGCCAAATTAAGGGACGAAGGGGGTTAGACGCCATTTTATTTATATGTATCTTTTTTCACTTTGTTTATGGTCGAGGGAGGTAGGTAAGTTGGTCTGTAAAGAGAAGTTTGTTTGTTTTGGCCTTGTCTGCCATCTCTCTGGTGTGAACTCGGTTGTCTCTTTCTGTTATGGCTAACCCCTAGAGGTCGTAACAAAACATTAACGATAATACAAGATGATTTTAGAGGATGACAACTCAAATTACCGTGTAGTGTGACAAATCTGTACTTACTGTCTAATCTTCTCATCGATGAAGTCTGAGCAGTCTAACATGAGTCACTCAGATGGAAAGTTTCCGTTGGGGGGTGCACTGGCCATCTCGAGAACCGAGAGAATTCCCGGTGGCCTGGCAGCTGATTTGGCCCGCTGCCCTACATTTTTTAATATTGTTGTTTTTGTTGCCTGCAGACTGCCGAATGTACCAAAGTGGTTGTTTCTGAATTCGCCATTCAATAATAAGACTCTTAATAAAACATGAATACGATTTGCCTAACACATCCGCCAAAAGGATGCGAGAATGGAGTAAAAGCGCCAGGTGGAGCAGAGAGGCAAGAGTGTCCTGTTCAGGACTTCAAGCGCAGGTCAGTTACATCTGTAAATAGACCATTGTAGTTTTGTCTTTGCTTACTTAGTTAAGCATTAAACTGCTAGCATATGTTAGCAGTGGCAGTCAATTACTGCAAAAATACCAAAAGGACATAAAAAGTATTGTGAATTTAGCAGACAAATATTCACATCGTTTTATAGCAGGTTTAGAGGGAGCCAAGGCACAGGCAGACAACAACACAAATCTTACGAAAATTAAGGTTTAAATTAACTGTGGTTTTTACAAAAAAATAAAACCAAAAACTATGGTTACTATAGTTAAACCATGGTTACCACACTATGTAGTTTCACCATGGTATTTGTAATAAAACTCTGGTTATACAAATGGTAATCAATCTGCCAAAAAACCATGGTCACTATACTTTTACCATAGGCCTAATAAAACCATGGTTCATTTTCCATAGGACAAAACATGACCCATGATAATGCAAAAACATGTTCAGTATTAAGATTTTTCTATAAAGATATATTCAAGATGTAGCTATTATTGTACTAAGTTTGATATTAGAAAATGACATGTCCCATAAACTAGAACTATTGACGGAAGTACCCGCGTGTTTTTGGCGCTTTTTGAAGTTGTAGGAAATCTGTTTGGGGGAACTAAAACAATATTTACTGTTTAAAAAAAAAAAAAAAATTTTATTTATAAAATATACTTGTTTGAAAGGCGTATACTTTCAGTCAGATTTGAGTTTATTAGGCTACATCACCACTAGATACACCTTGCTTCTAATAATAAATAATATTTGTGATGAGACTTTTGTTCTTGTGGAAAATACATTAATGGATGAACAAATAAATTAATAAAAAAACAATAGCATGCAATAGCTTTACTTTGGCCTGTTGATAGAAATATTTAAGTGAGAACTGAGGTTCAGAGGATGCTGTTGTGGAGACCTAATAAAGGAGAAAAGACAATTTCAGAAAAGAAGATGCTGATGAAGATTTTCTAAGGCAGCAGATTGAGCCGTTAGAGAGAGACACTGACATCGGTTTAACAATTACCTATATAGTTCTTAGAAAATAATAAAAATAGGCAGTTCAAATTGTCATAGCTCTTGGGGGGTCCCCCTAACCAGACCACCCCCATGCCCCTTCAAAAAAAACAAAAAAAATAAAACCTTATTT